ATGTTCTAGAAGCTTCCCATGCATTATGGCAGTTCTGTTTTCTAGCTGTGGGATAGTGAATGCATTATAAATGGGTAACTTAGGTTCATCTGTAAATAGAGATGATGATGACAATAGACATTATTTTATAGGGTTGTCAAGTAAGGATTAAGGTGTGTGTCAGGCAATGTATGAACTTTTCCTCAGGAGATAAACAATGTCTATTCACCTCAGACAGGGCACCAACAACATACCCAAGAAGCAGTTCCACCTAAGTCTAGCTTGGAAAACTGGTGAGTTTATTTAGGGTTACAGGAGCATGGTTAGTTTACAAGGAGCTAAATTACTGGGGTGGGGGGAATGTCTCCTAGCAACCAGTAATATCCTGTATATCTTGGGGAGGGGCTGGTTTTCTTGAATCATTCCCTACCATCATGCTGGAGCTTCATTGGCCCAATCTTGTGCAGGTCTCAGACAAAGGTAGGTGTGTGTGTGTGTGTGTGTGTGTCTGTGTGTGTGTGTGTGTGTGTGTCTGTGTGTGTGTGTGTGTGTGTGTGTGTGTGTGTGTGTGTGTACAGCTGCTAAAATCTCAAGAGAACAACTGCCATGTATTACCTAGATCTAGATGACAGTGTTCCGTAATAGTGAGATAGGGACAGAGAGAGAGAATCCAGAAAGGAAGAAGACCTTTATATTCTAACTATTTAGCTATTGTCACTTCCTCATTTTTTCCCTTCAAAACAGAGCAGACACTAATATCGCTCTGGTCACATGAAATGGAAAAGGTGTACCTGTAATATAGGGAGGCATGAGTGGGAGCAATAAGTGTTGGCATTTCTAAAAGCCTCTACCCACTACCTGCCCACACCTGAAGCCATGCTCCTTAAGCTTTTCCATCTCTGCAGAGGCACCAGTGTGCACAAAGCTAGATCCTGTGAGTCTGGCCCTATGCCCAAGCCACATGGACTCAAATCCTTCCTCTGCCACTTCCTGTCTGGGTGACCCAGACAAGCAACTGGCCCCTCCGTGTCTCAGTTTCTCCTCTCGGTAAGGGAGTGGGTAATTACAGGGCACGTGTTGTGGGGTTATTAAATGGTTTGGAGGCATGCCTAGGAGAGAAGCTGCTCCGTGCATGACTGATATTCCTAAGCACTTTATTCACCTAGAATCGTCCACTTAAGATCCATCTCCCTTCGGTTTGCTGCCTGTCCCGTGTACACACTCAGCGTTGCACCTTATTTACACCCTTCCATGCCAGGAGCACGACTCAGCATCCTGCTTGCAGAGCCCCCCGGTCATCAAATCTCAGCACATCCGCTAAGTGTCACCCACACATCTCTCCCACCCTGCCTCTCCCACACACACACACCCCCTGCGACTCCCAAAGGCCTGAACCTAGGTCCTAGAGCCACCACTTGCTAACCTCAAGACTTGGGCAGATCACTCCCCTGGTGCTGTTGGGAGGTCTTTGTGGCCACTCTGGGGTTCAGTGATTCACTAGGAGTCACAGAAGACAAAGTATTTTATACTCAGAGTTGGACATATTTTAAGTAAATTCAAATGACAGTGTAAAATGAGGTTGGCTGGAGGGATGGCTCAGAGGTTAAGAGCACCGGCTGCTCTTCCAGAGGACCCGGTTCAACTCCCAGCAACCACCTAGAGGCTCACAACTGTAACTACAGTTCCCAGAGGACCCAACTCACTCTTTCAGGCCTCCCAGGGCACCAGACACACACGTGATTCACAGCCATACATGGCATAAGAAAAAAAAAAATACACATAGGATTATTTTAAGTAATAATGTCTAGAAATATTGTAGTAGAACTATAACTGAGTCAATGACAAACTTACTGTATTTTTTTTCTTAAAATATTTTGGATCTCACCACAGGTATGGTGGTACATGCCTTTAATCCCAGCACTCGGGAGGCAGAGACAGGAGGATCTCTCTGAGTTCGAGGCCAGCCTGGTCTACAGAGCAAATTCCAAGACAGCCAGGGCTACACAGAACAACCCTGTCTTGGGAAAAACAAAAACAAATGGTGTGTGGGTGGGTGTGTTATGTTGAATCTCAGTACCCTTTGGGGTGCTACGTGTGTGATTTTAGGCTTAGGAAAGCAAAGTCTTTCTTCTCTTTGAATTCTGCTGAACCTGTTTTGTTTAGCAGATATCTGTCTTTGTCTCTCTGTATATGGGCCTGTGTGGCTATGCTTATGTGTGTATGCATGTTGCGAGTAGCTAAGCATAAGGGTGTGCAGAAGCCAGAGCTGGCCATCATCTGTCTTGCCCTGTCTCTGTCATATTGCCTTGAGACGGGATCTCATGCTGGAGTGAAACCTTGCTGTTTTCTGCTAGGCTGGTGGTCTCCCTGCTCTCAGTATCTTCCTGTCTTTGCTTCCCAGTGCTGGAGTCACAGTTAACAGCTGTGCCCAGTTTTTTATGTGGGTGCTCATGCTGCCCATTGAGCCATCTACTAAGTCAGACCCCCAGGTTTAGTAGATTTTTCTTAAGGCTGAACATGATGCAGTGTTTTTTAAATAGTCTTGCGGGATGAAGTCGTGTTATGGCAGAGTGGCTGGGTCTCTGATTAAATTGGATTCAAATCCTGTTTGCCCTGCTGTGGGTTATTTCTTTCAGAAACTGGCCAAAGGAGCCGCAGGACTGGCCCAGGATCTAGAACTGGTGTTGTGGCTCAGTTGGTAGAGTGCTTGCTTGGTTGGTTCCCTGGGTTCCACCCCCAGCACCTAATAGAATTCCAACATAGTGCTACATGCCTGTAACCCCACAACTTGGAAGGTAGACGGAAGGATCAGAAGTTCAAGGCTCATTCTTAGCTACATAATTTGAGACCAACCTAGGCTACATGAAACCCTGTCTTGGGGTGGGGAGAGTCTTTGAACAGACACTCAATCTGGTAATTTATGAACTTGGACTCTTAGAGAGTACATGTTACTTCTTAGTAGTGATGTTGCTTGCCCCAGACAATGTACAAGACACATGAATGCATTTCATCCCACAGGACTTGCTATTGCCATTTTAGAGATGAGACAGAGGTGAGGCAAGCTGCCAGAAGCCACTCAGCCAGAAAGAAGGGGGGTATGGGATCTCAGGTGAGGCAGTCTGGTCTAGAAAGCTTTGTTTTTAACTGTGGTTCCCTTGTTCAGGGCTTGGAGGAATAAACAGTTCTAAAAGAGGAAACCAGCAGGAACAGAGGTTAAAGAGGAAACTGAGGCAGGGAGGTAAACTCAAGCCCATGAGGTAGGCAGGAAGGCTCAAATCAACACCATTTAATCTGCTTCCACAATCTGCTACTTAACCATAGCCCTCAAACCAAAGCCATGGGGACACCCTGGGAGACTTGCCTAAGCAGTTTCAAAGTCTCAGCTCCCCAGAGACAGTGAGTCCAGATGGCTGCTTATCTTTTGCAGCTCCTGTTGCCAGTAGTGGTCCAAGGCCCTTGCATAGACTGCTCCTAGGTGCAGAAAGAAGTAACACCCAGCTTCCAGCAGCAGCAGCAACTAGGACTCAAGAGTATCACAGGGGCTAATCACATGCAAATATCCCAGTATTGTCAAATCAGATCAATCAGGGTGTCCTGATCTCAAACGCTGGAGAACTACTAGTTTATAAGAGTGCCGGATTTTGATTTTATTACACTGCCTCTTAGCAATCAAAAGATTCTGTGCAAATGCATGAACGAATGGATTTGCATTTCTGCAGAGGAAGCATGTGTCCCGGGAATTGGGCAGGACGCGCGTGCGCGGACACACATACACACACACACACACACATACACACACACACACACACACACAGAGAGAGAGACACAGAGACAGAGACAGACACGGTGTGACACACACACACAGAGAGAGAGAAAGAGAGAGAGAGAGAGAGAGAGAGACGGTGTGCGGGAGAGAGATTTTGAAAGCTTCAGGGTTTTCTGTTTTGGCATTTACTTTTCTGACTATACATCTTAATTAAACATTTTTTAAAAGAAATTTTGCAAAAGTTGATAGAAGCAGAATGTCCATTTCATCACTTCAAAAATTTTAAATGCAGAATATTTCTAAAACTCATAGAAGACATCAGTGGTGCCAGACAGCTAACTCAGGCCAATGCCATAATATGTGAAGTATGAACGACACAGAGAAGGAAGGAGGCTCTCTGAGTGTAACCCACCCTGGTTAAGGAGCATCCCTGCCAGGTGAAGGTATCTTTGGGCTCTGAGCCCTGGTGGGAACCCTGCTTCCCATGGCCATGATGCCCAGCATCTCCAACTTTGAAAAGCTTAGAATTTTCACCCTGTTTATTTTATATGTTGGAATTTTTTCCTATACAGAGAAGTTTATATTGCTCCCAGAAGTCAACAGTTTTAAAACTCAGATACTGGGTATTGTGGGAAGAATATGGCTCCTCATCTTTCCTGCTGTCTGGGCTCATTCATGTGTATATTATGGGGTGGGGGATGGTGGGTCCTGTATCTATCTTTCTAGCTCTCAATTTTTCAAACAGAATCTGCTGTAATTTCATATTTCTGATTCCTTCACTGGCAAATCCCATGTCTTCCCTGATTGGACTTTCATATCTCATCCAATTTTAGTCTTAGTTGTTCCTTTATTTTTTTTCAGACAGCTCAGGTTGCCAGATACAGCCTTGTTTTTCACACAAGGAAGGATCATATTTGTCCAGTTTTGCACAATTTGTCATCATGCTAGATCCCTAAAGGCAGCCAACAAGCACTTTCTTGTTAAGAAGTGGTGATTTCAGAATGACAAGGCTATGGTCCTAGCTGTAGATGCTTGTAAGATTTGAAAAAAGGTGAGACCACTGACAGTAAGTGCATCACCAGCTTTAGTTTTTCAATATTTACCTTGGTTTCAATCATCCAAGGAGAGAACTTACTAATTGAGAAAACAAACCAAACCCAAAGCAAAGGATGGAAGAGCTTGGTCCTACCCACAGGCAGTCTGTGACAATATTGTGCCTAAATGATTCTTTGATCACTGCCCCCTCTATGTTGAGTGTGGCATCAAAAATAGCCCCCAAGACAGCTGGCTGGAGCTCCCAGAGAACGGAGAGCAGAGGGGCCCCCAGTGGGGCGGTGAGGGGCAAAAAGAGCTGGAGATTGCAGAGGAGAAAGACGGGAGGTTTCCAGTCAAAAGGAGACGGGGCCTCGAGGACATCGTTGTGGTTCATTTGGAGGGTGCAAGAGCTGCAGGCATAGCAAATGGGGGTGAAGGGGGACCCCAAACTGTGAGCTCCAAAAATGGAGGACAGCAGATGGAATTTGGGGACCCAGAGGGGAGGCTTCCAGGGCTGGGGAATGGGGTGCTATGCACCGCCCCTGTGCGGACTGTGTTGGAGGGCAATCCAGAATGGGCAGTGGCAAGGGTCGAGTCCCTGGCCACAGGGGAGATAGTAAAAGGAGGAGGTGAAGAAGGCCCAGGGGAACCAAAGAGGCTTTGCCCCCCCTGCAGAGATGAGGGGGTGGACTGCGAGCCACGCCCCAAGTTCCGAGCAGCCTGTGGGCCAGAGCTGGCAGACCTAGTGGCCGAGGAGCTGGCCTTTGCCAGGCAGCACGGGACCCGAGGTTTCCACTGGACCGGAGCGGGCTTTGCGCTTAAGGATGGCACCTCAGACTTCTTCTTGGATGGGGCCCTGACACACTGCAGCTGCTCAATCCATGCTGCCAGACGCCTGCCCTGCAGACACCTCTTTGCTGCGCGTCTCCTCACAGGGGCAGCCTTGTTCCACATGGACCTGCTCAGAGATTGCTGGGGGAGATCCCAGGAACCCTGACCCTGTGCACTTCTGCCTGCTACCCTCCACATGGAGGGCAGAAACATATTCTTTGATCCCAAAGATAATAGGGCTCAGGCACAATGGGCCACCCCAGCCCTTCTAATCACCTGAGTCATCGAAGGACCTCCTCCTGGCCCTCTTCCTCTATATCCTAGAGGATGCTGGCTATGGTCTCTCGAGGAGCCACACCCGTGGGCTGTGCTGACGGCCAGGGCACAGTGAAAGGACATTGCTCTGGAGAAGAAATGCGTGGGGAGAGGTGTAGACAGGATCAGCCAAGACAGAAGACAAGAAAAGGACAGTGCCGGGGCAGGGGGAGGCTCAGTGGAGGTTACAAAAAGAAGCCAAGGTATGGGGACACTGACAGAAGTAAAGACTGGGAGCCCTGGGGACTATGAGATTGAAAGGGGGGAATCCAGGGAGAGCGAACAAGGCTGAAAGAGGAGAGGAGAAAAGAAGGGGGGGCTTCCGAAGGAGAAGTGGGGAAAGATAGGAGAAGGGAGGGCAAGAGATGGGACCAGGGGAAGTGAAGCCCTGGGGAAGAGAGGGTGGTAAGGGGAGGAGACAATTTTCAAAGGACATAGGGAGAGAAAAGATGATAGGATGACCTGGGGACCTGGCCATTTCTCAGGGTGGGGCAGGGAAATGGCCCTGAAGATCTAGTGGGACAACCTAAAGACTGCCTCAGAGGGAAGGGAACTAACTGAACGCCTGTGTTTTGAGATTGAAATAAACAGCATTATTTTGGTCTCCAGGCTGAGTTCATGGCTTCTGGGGGAAGGGAGGGGGCAGGGGACCCAGATCCAGAGGAAAAATGAAATGGCCCAGCATCCTTTTGTTCTTTCTGCCAGTGACCTTCTTCTGGGATGAATGGAGGGTTCACAATTAGTCCACTGCTAGGACAACTGATGTGTCATCCTCTTCTGAACCACTTCACAACCATAGCAATTTCAGACGTTTGACCATGCCCAAGTCCTCTTGGTGATTAGTTTGAGAATGGGCTTTTGACCAACAAAGTCTTCTCAAGTGGAGGCAGGACTTCTAGGAAAGATTGTCTTACTCTCAAAATGTTGCAAAATGAGATGATTCTAGACATACTCACACTCCAGTCACCTCAGGCCAATGTAGAGATAAAGCCCATACTGAGCAGGAGTAGAGAACCCAGAGATGAACATCTTATGCCAAAGAGATGGTTCAGCAGGTTAAAATTTTTAAAAACAGAAAATAAAATTTAAAAAAGGTTGCCTTGAAAACCTGATGATATGAATTCAATCCTCAGAGCCCACAGTGGAAGGAGAGAGCTGGCTCCCGAAAGTTGTTCTCGCCTCCACATGCATACATTCACACACACACACACACACACACACACACACTGGGGGGGGGGGGGAGAATAAATCAGAAATATCTAGATTCCTGCTGGATTCTGGATCCGGGTCCTAGGGTTTGTTCTGATGCGATGCTTCTGAAGTGAAAGATGTTATCATGAACACTGGCATGACTTTGGGGTTCTGTGTGCACAGCTAATACAAGGAACCTAAGTCAATAGTAGGCTACAAAATCCACCTGCTCAGACTTTGGTGAAGACATAAAAAGGGAAACTTGTTGAGGCCCAGAGCTGGATTTGCAAGGTCGCGGAGGGGCAAGAGCTTTGAGAAAGATGATGTTTCTGTTACTGATGGACCACAAGGCACACTTAGAATAGCAATAAAAGAATTTTAAGGTAAAGCCAGGCGTTGGTGGCACACGCCTTTAATCTCAGCACTCGGGAGGCAGAGGCAGGTGGATCTCTGTGAGTTCGAGAC